ATGTGTTCCAAGACCCGACTTATATATAGTTGCATATTGGATAATTATTGAGTACTTGTAAAATACCATGTGACAACACTTACGTGGTAGTCTAAGCTAATAGCGTAGCAGAAAATTCTATGAAATACAGTGACTCACATTTGTTAGGTAATTTAAGAGATAATGAATGCATGTGGATTACAATTTTTCCAATCAACAATACTAGTTAGAAAATTTATCAAAACACTTCACATGGTTGACATTCATTTCAAATATAAATCCTACTCTACCAGAATTAAATTTAAGCCACACAATTTTCTGGAATTTTTTTTTAATTAAATTTTTTGTATTATTTTTCAATTGCCAAAAACAGTACCTAAGTAATGCCCCTAACAGTTCTATGGTCTATGTGGAAGCTTTGAAATGAGTGTGTGTTCAAGGGTGTGAAGCAGATGATTTTGCTTCCCTAACGGTGCCAACCTAGTTGGGATTGCTAAGGCCTGCGGTGATACTTTTGCACTTCCCTCTTTATTGTTGTAAGTTGTATGCTTGTTCTGCTTTCTTCATCAATAAAGCTCTCTTTTGCTTATAAAAAAAAAGGGTGTGAAGCCTGATGTCTGGATTTGTGAGATTATTAAAATTAGTGTTGCGCTTTGGCTCAAGTCCTCAGCTAAGGAGCTGCACTTTTAGGTTTGATTTTGTCTTTAATATTAGATAGATTAGAGTTTGTATTGGAGGAGGTTGAATTTTGTTTGGCCGTATTAGGAGCGAGTCGAGCCTTCTGCTATCTATTTTTGGGACTGGTTGCATCAGTTGGAATCTCTCCAACATTGTGTTTGGGTGGTTCATGAGTGTACATGATTGGCCAATATAATTAGGATTGCATAAACAATGATGCTATATTCTCCAAGCGTTGTAATTTATAATTTATTACTTCATTTTTTAATAAAATTCTTTTCTTTGTTGATAAAAGAAAAAGTGATGCCAACAAAGAATACCAGGTGCAATGTCGTTTCTCTGTATTTTTTGCTTGTAATAAATGAATTGAGTGTTATGTGCAGTAGGTAGAAGCATCACATTATTCCATTTGCCTATGTTGTTATTATGGGTCGGCCTCGTATGGTGATAATCTTATTTGGGTCATTTTATGTTAGAATTATTTTACAAATCCTACGCTATAACAAAATGCACATTTGGTGACTAAAAAAAACTTAATCGCCAAAAGTTATGAAATTGGCGACCAATAATTTTTTTAGTCGGCAAAAGTACACTACTAGAAAAGTGGTTTTTTGCGACTAGCTTTTTGCGACGGATTATTTTACCGTCGCAAAAAATAATATTTGCCACCGTAGGTTTTTTTCTTTTACTATTTATTTTGCATTTTTCTTATTCCTATGCCCTAATCCTTTTCACTGTGACTTTCTCGACAATTCACAAACAGAGATCTCTGTTACTTTCGCTCGCCATGGTCGCGCTCTCTCTCTCTCTCTCGTCCTCTCTCTCTAAGATTGTGATGAGAAGCAACAGACAACAACGCCGGAGCTACTAGGGTTTGATGATCAGAAACCAGCAGAGATCATCCGCATTCAGACCTCGAGATGCCAGCCCCGATTCTGTTATCTTCACCGTCGAATCCAACTTCAACATCTTCTCCACAGCTCACTTTTGAGATTAAACAAGGAAATGGCATTACGAACTCTCTCGACCTCTCAATCTCGTTCTATATCTCTCTTTGTCTCTGTTAATCTTGCTTTCTCTCTCTGTTTCTCAATCTCCTACTCTCTCTTTATGGTTCGTTTGAAATCTATATTTTTCATTCATTATCACTCAGATTGCCTCTTGGATTGTCCAAAATAATCTCTCTAGGGCAACACAAAATCAACATTTTTAGGTATTTCTCTCGATTAATCTCTGGTATGTTTTTTCCCCATCTCTCTCTATATATATATATATATATTCTTTGTATTTTGCAACAATTTATGCATATATATTTATTGAAATTGAAATTATTAATTTTCTGTGCATAATGGAGTTTGATCCATGTGATTTAAGCATGATTCTGTGTTTTCTACACTAATGTGTTACAATTACTACTCATATACTTTAATTTAATTTTGTTCAATTTTAATGAAATAAGAAATTCTTAGCCTACTTGAGATCGTTCTGGTAGATGCTTAGTTCACATTTTTTTTTTTTGTTTTGCTGGGAATTTGGAGCAACATTATTTGGATTTTTTTTTTATTTTAATTTAATTTTGTTTACCTGCTTGTTGCTTTAATGTTATACTTCCAATTTTATTATGTCTCTCTTTCTTTTACATTTTTGTTCTTTTTGTTTATAATAGTAAAGTTCAATTGTGTTTTTGTTTGGTGGTGATGACATAAGTTGAAGCTCTGTTTGTTTGGATTGCGATTAATTTTGAAATTCCATAGCAGAGAGGATGTAATTCTGGTTCCAATTGTGTTCTTGAATAACATGTCAATATGTCATGAATTTTGCAGGAAACATTTTTGTGTGCTGTTTTTTTCTTAGTATCTACCAGTTTAGTTGGAATTTTTGGGAAAATGATTATTCCCTTGGCAATAAATTAAGCCTTCAATATACTTAACTAAAAATGTTAAGTATATTAAATTGATACAACATGCTCTCATTAGATTTGAAAATGTTAATTTAACATGGGCGGCACAAGTTCCATTTGGCATCAGGCACTTCCATTATATGATGACTTTGAGAGGCCTTTGAATCTTCATTTTACTTATACTGTTATCTCTTTAACTAGGCCTTAATGCCATGATTTCCTGATTTTTTTTTTAGTGAATAAGCTATCTGTGTTGGAAGAATTGGTAGATTGATTGTGATTCATCTTAAGCATGTACACTTTCTTCTCTTTGCAGCTAACAGTACATGAAAATTTGTTATATATATATATATACATCTGTGTTCATTCATTGCTAAGTAACCTTGATTTATACTGAGATTCACATATCTTTTTGATCTGCTTTTAAGTTTTGTCTATATATCTTTACTGTAAGTTCAATAGTCATGATCGGTGATAGATTTATGTGGTTTTGCATGTATAATAATTGGATCAGCATGTGCTCTGTTTTAATACCTGCTGAAAATTTTCGTCTGCTTTAATACCTGCTGAAAATTTGATTGAATTTTTTGCTATGTTAAATTAAATCTAAGATTTGGAGGTAGTGATTTTTGTGCTCCTAATAGCTAATTGTGCCCATGATTGAATGATTTTGAATTTTTTATGCATAACAAAAGCGTGAGTCATTGTGAAGTCTCATCCTTTTTGTTTTATGAATTTGAATTTAAGGGCTTAGCTGTGTACAAGTATTTACATTTTTAGAGATGTAATGAATTTGAATAATAAGTGATGTTTCCTTAGTTGGGTAGAATCTGATATGTGGTTTGATTTTCTATGAATTTCTTATCCTCATATTTTAGTATTATTATTATTTTTTTTGCTGGTGATTTTCATATATTAAACCATACTCAATTCAAGCAACTGGGTCAGAATTAGCTTGGTTTGATTTTTTTTTGTTTTGTTTATGAATTCAATGTTATCTATAAATTTGAAACTATATATATATATATATATATTGACCTTCATTTCTTCTTTAATTTAAAATTAAGTATGGGTTTTGATGAATGACGTACAAAGTACCTGAACTTTGTACATGATGCTTTTAGCTAGATCTGCGACGGTGAAGATATAGGTTTGAAAAATGGCTTGTTTTGATTTGCGTTGATGTGGTTTTTGGGTTTTGTTGTTGGTTTTGATAAGAATTCTATAATTTGAGGTTCTAAAGCTTGAAAATGGTGACACAGCTTTGCTGCTAGTGGTGGTGGTAGGTGATGAAATCAACATTTTTGCCTTTTATTTGCATGATTCTTGGAAAGTCCATAGCTAAACAGAGTTCTCTGATTTTTATGCCTTCCTTTTTATGAAACCTGAAAAGTACTTCAAAAATGCTATTCAATGGGGCTTTATTCACTTGCCACACTTGTCATTGGGTGAAGATATTCTTCATCTATATAGACAAAAGTTGAGTTAGCCTCGAAAATTAGAGTTTGTTTCTATTGCAAAGTCGGCTTGCAAATTATCTATAAAGATAATATTTACTTCCTTTGCTTTGACAATGTCATCTTGTTTAGTTTAGTCAGGCCACGTCAGCTCTGAAGCCATTGATCCGGGATCGAGCATTTGTTTAACTTCTATCCTACTAAAATGAGGGAAAACTTGTCTTGAAATTGTTCCATTATGTTTGGATATACTTGGAGTTCTCTTTTATAATCCTGATATAACAGTTAATGGAAAGCGCAAAATATGAGTAGACTGTTGATTGTGGATGCAGGATTTTCTCTCATAATATGAGTCTACTGTTGATTGTGGATGCAAGATTTTCTCTCATATTTTTTGATCAAGTGTCAAAGTTACTATAACGACGGTTGATCTAGTAAATGGGTGACCTGAGCAATGTAAGATCCTACTTCAAATTTTTTTCCCCTTCTAGTGTTCGAAAAGACCTTCATTTTATGAGAAAATTATGATCCATCATTTTCTGTACTGCTTGTTGATATTAGGCATATGAGCTTTTAAAGGAAGGTGTAGATCTTCAAGCTTTTTATAGATACTTTCAGTTTATGTTCTTCACATAATTATTAAGAGAAAGTAATTGTTTTATCTATGATAATTGTTGATGGTGCAATTGATTATTGAAAATGATCACTCTGTTATTGGGGTTTTTACTTTTGGGTAAGAAAGTTGATGGAAAATTTGTGATGGAAAAAGGTCTTCACATCCTTTCTTTGACTCAGTTAACGGTCCTCCGCCGGACTTGTTGACAGTAATTTGGAAGCTCCTTACTGGAAACACTTCATCGCTTGAATTGTTCAAATTATTTCGCTCTGCAAAATTGTTGAATATGCTGTTCATTTCATGGCTGCTACATGTGCTTTGAATATCAACCAGACATGTTCTATTTAGGAAAGAAAAAATTCTAGATCTAATATTTTTTTAACTCTCGTTTCTGTCATTACAGGTCAAGCCCAAACCTAACCCAGCTAGCGTACAAGGACTTCTGAGAGACTTAATGTTGACAGTTATTTCATTGATTTAAGGTTAGACAACGACCTCAATGCCTTCATTTCAAACTAATCGATGCGTGTTTTCTCACTATCTATAACTGAGTTGTAGGATTTTAAATTAGTTTTAGCATGATTGGATTGATTGATTGTGATTAAATTAGTTTTGTGAGCAAGCATTGTTAGGATAGACGTTCTCACTTAGAAGCGTGCTTATGAGATAAGCCATGGGGCACTAATGTTAGTTTTCAAGTCCAAGTTTGATGAAAACTTTCAAAGTTCATGGCTGGTCTAAGATTTCGAGATAAACTATGCTCCTTAGTGTTTCTTACCTAACATTTTTAAGAGAAAATTTTCAAATCCAAGCAGTTTAAAACTTATATTAACTAGGACAAGAATTAGCAATATGGAGTGGCCTTTTTCTTCTAAATTTTTGGATATAGCACATTCAAAGTTCTAATGAATATTATACTTTAATTTTGAAGATGATGCTGTGACTTGATCAAAACATTGCATATAATATTTGCAATTTTTAGTCTCTGCATGTTATGTTGTTGTGGCTACTAGGTTATGTAAGCAAGTAAGAAAGTCCATCATTCTGATTTGTTAAAATTATGTTCTTATCAAGTAATTACCGGCATGGTCATCTTCTTTGGCTTCCACTGATTTGGTACGTCTTCGGATGAAACTTTTTCTCTATTTCTTTCTTTTCGTAAAGTGTTCGGATGAAATATTTTCTTGAAAGAACAGGTAAGCAAATAACTTTACCCCACCCAAACAAAAATGATGAATTTTCTAGCATCGTGTTATATTTATTACATATTTGTTGAATTTTGTCCCTTTGACCTTACCTTATGACCTTGGTCAACTTTCTTATTTATTTATTTGTTCATATATTGTTTCTAGTGCCTAATCATCTTAATATGTTTGGGCTTAAATTTAATTTTCCTCCGAGTCTTTTGAAGTGTCATTAATTCAGAAGTGCTACACCAAACTGCCTAGAAACGTGATAAAAAACGTGATTGTTAGTCTTGCAGCATGTGGACACACATACAGTGCATTAAAACATCTTAACGACTATTGGTTCGGCAGACAGCAATGATTTTTTTTTCCTGTTTTTTTATTTTATTATTTTTTAAATTAATAAGGCTGTTTGCATCTCTATCTTATTTCAGGTAATTCTTTCGGTAGTATTGACTGCTGCTGGGGTTATGATTGCAGCGCTGGGAGATTTTTCTTTTGACCTTGTTGGATATAGCATGGCCTTTACTTCTGTTTTCTTCCAGGTTTGGTCTAGGGCTTTTCTTATTGAAATTTGTGAATAACAAGTGCTCATAAAATCATTTTGGAGCCTTGTTGCTTGAGCTTGTGATATGCTTGCATATGCAGACCATGTACCTTGTGTTGGTGGAGAAGTCTGGTGCAGAGGACGGACTTTCATCAGTTGAGATCATGTTCTATAACAGCTTTTTGTCTTTACCATTTCTGGTATTTCTTATCATAGCTACAGGAGAGTTTCCAGATTCTTTGTCATTGTTATTTGCAAAGGTCAGGATCTTAACCTATGTTCACTATGTTTTAATACTGTTCTTGAATGTGTTGGAAAGCAGAAATCTTTGTTTTTAATGCTTAGGCAAGGAATACACAAAGCTTCAATAAATTGTGAATGCTTGAAACTGTTTTCTTGTAATTAAAGCAATGAAATTGAAAAATTGGAAGGCATGTTTTTCTTCTTCTTCCCTTTTGTTTGTTTATTTTTATTTTTTGACAACTCCACTAGTACCTGTCACATGCTAGTAAAATTCTATAAATTAAATTAAAGGGGCTGTTTGGCCTAATGGTAAACAGCAAGACTACATTGGCGAGGCTTTTTGAATGGCAAATGCACTACGGTATTTTTAGGCGTTAGATTGAACATTAAAATAAGGTCTTAGGTTCTGGGTGTTGTACAATTGGGACTTTTGAAGATCTTTTAATCGTTTGTCCATTTTTAACCTATTCGAGAGCTAATAACCATGCAGATTTCTAGTCAAAGTGATGCATTTAAACTCTTATGCAAATTTTTAAAAGGGGAAAGAGACAAGTGGCCTATTATGCATTTAAACTCTTACTTATGCATTTACTCTTACTTATGTAACTTGGAGTTGTTTTTTTAATGTCATGAGGAAAGAGACAAGTGGCCTATTATGAAATATGTTAGCTGTTTCAGATCCTTCCAATTTAGATTAATTTTTAAATTTTATTTTTTATTTTTTTAATGTTCATTGTTTTGTTAATTAGCTAGAAGGTTTAAGAAATGAATGTGGATGCTATTATTTGAAAGCTAATATCCATGCAGATTATCTTTAGAGTGAGTGACCTAATTCTGGGAAGTTGTATCAGCAATTGTACTAGAAAGCAATTGTACTAGACAACCATGGTTAAGTTAGTTTGAGTTTTCACTTGTAGGAGAAGCACACTCAATGAAAGTAGAGAAGATTTTGTGCAAGGATAAATCAGAGTACCAAGAAATCCTGGTTTTTGAGGTTCAGCATTTTCATCTCCTAGTAGTAGATTGTCTTTGTAGTGATGACTTGCTTTCTGTTTTTCTGCCATTTATTGTCTTATTTATGAATTTCCTGTTGATACTGGTTCTTTTATTTGCAGTCCTCAACATATGGGAAAGTTCTTGTGCTTGATGTCATTGTTCAGTTGACTGAGAAAGATGAATGTGTCTATCAGGAGATGATAACTTATCTTCCCCTTTGTTCAATTCAATCCCCCAAAAACCAAAACTGTAATTTTCATAAATCATGGGTTCCATAGTTCATGATGAGTTTACTGTTTCTATTTTTATTCAAATTTAATTTCAAATGACATATAACTATACTTAGATTATTGAAATTATAATGCAATTAAGTGTGAGGAACCTTTTGAATCCATAGCAGGTTCTTTTTTTCTTTTCTTTTATTCTAGTTGAACTTTAATAGGCATATGTACTTAGAGATACATTTGAAGTTAAATGTCCAACTACAAATGATTGTTATGGTGAAAAAAATATACTCTCTTTGATTATCAATCTACCAAGAGGTTTGAGGTTTGAGGTTTGAGGTTTGAAGTTTTCAGATGCTGCAATTCGTTCAGCCTTAGGGATTGTTGTCGAGGAACAGGGTCTATAGGTGCCCATATTCCCTAGGCATATGTACTTAGAGATACATTTGAAGTTAAATGTCCAACTACACATGATTGTTATGGTGAAAAAAATATACTCTCTTTGATTATCAATCTACCAAGAGGTTTGAAGTTTTCAGATGCTGCAATTCGTTCAGCAGCAACATCATGCCCACTTTTAGAGTCTTTGGATATGTCAAATTGTTCATGTGTGAGTGATGAAACACTACGTGAAATAGCCCGCCCTTGTGGTAATCTCCATGTTCTTAATGCGTCATACTGCCCAAACATCTCTCTTGAGGTCAGTGATCTTACTTTTGACTATTCCTGTGCTGGTTATGTTTGGATATGCCTTAAGTTGACACGATTTGTTGCTTTTGTTGAAGTCTGTGAGACTACCAATGTTGACAGTTCTCAAGCTTCACAGCTGTGAGGGCATAACTTCAGCTTCAATGGCGGCAATATCTCATAGTTACATGTTGGAGGTTTGAAGCCTCTTAATTGTCTCATAAGTTAGCATTGCCCAGGCGTTATTCAATGTGTGAATAGTGAATGAAATCAAAATTTTGTTGCGATGTAGGTCTTGGAGCTTGACAATTGCAGCTTATTGGCAGCAGTGTCGTTGGATCTTCCACGCCTGCAGAATATAAGACTCGTCCATTGTCGCAACTATATTTTGCTGCTCTAACCTCATATTGTGGCAGGGGAACTGCTGAGTTAAATTTTTGGTACACTGTTGTGGACAGTAACTCATGTTATTATAATGCCTGCAGGTTTGTTGATTTAAATTTACGAAGTATCATGCTGTCATCTATTGCAGTGTCAAATTGCCCTTCTCTCTTGCGAATTAACATCACATCAAATTCACTACAAGTATGTCTTTCATTAAATTGTTTATTATTTTCTTTTTCTCCATATTGTCCTTTGTTTTCAGAGAGGTATGAATCCTGAAGGTATGGTTGGTTTTATGTTTATGCAGAAATTAGTGCTGCAAAAGCAAGAAAGCTTGACAACTTTGGGATTTCAATGCCAATGTTTGCAAGAAGTGGACCTTGCAGATTGTGAATCTCTAACAAATTCTATCTGTGAAGTTTTCAGTGATGGTGGTGGATGCCCTATGCTAAAATCATTAGTTCTTGATAACTGCAAGGTGTGTGTGAACATAGTTCTTTGCATTTTGCTGTTTCTGTAGTTTAGTTGAAGTCACTTGTGCTTTGCATGTTCAATTGAGGACGTAGCTTTATATGATTTGTTGGGTTTTCATATCTTGCTGTGACTGTTTTCTTTCCTTTCATTCTCGTCTTAAGTTTTCATTTCTAATTTATGAAATGTAATTGTTTTTGTTTCTTAATGGAACTTTTTTTTTTGGTAAACAATTAAGCAGCCACTTTGAGGAAATTTTGTTGGAGTTAACGTCTTTTGACATGTGTCACATATTCATTTTTTCTGTTTCCAAGAACAGTGAACATTGTGCAAAAAGGTTGTGGATGTAGATGTACTATGTAAGCATATCTGCAAAAAATATTATGTTGCTCTTTTTTTTTTTTTTTTTTTGAAGACTTGAATTTTTTAGTACAGTGTATTTAAGGATGGTTAATGGATATTATAAATTTAATTAATTTGTTAATTTTGTTATTTTCATTTCCAAAAAATTGTTTGGTGGTTGTAATTGATTTTTTTGTTGTAGCAAGTCCATATATGATTTTTTTTAATAAATAATTATTTGCGACAGTGAAACTATGGTCGCTAAAAGTGCTTTTAATTTTTTAAATTTTTTTGCGACGGCAAAATGGCTGTCGCAAAAAGTAGTTTGGGCGGTCGCAAATTATTTGCGACCGTTGTTTTGCCGTCGCAAAAAGTATTTGCCACCCCCACATTTGCGTCCCTCATGTGCGGTCGCATAGACCGTCCCAAAAAGTCTTTTGCGACTGTATTTTTATTATTTGCGACGGCATGTGACGGTCGCAAAAAGTGTTTTTTTTAGTAGTGTTTGTATGATTGATGCAAAACATGGTCAAACTTTTCTTTAAAAAAACAAAATTACACTTTTTTTCAGTAGTGAATTAGAGTTCTAATAAGGATAAGGGCATCTCCAACCCTAGCCCAAAACTTAAATTTGAGTACAAAGCCACTAAAATCTCCCACTCCTTTACTCAAATCTATATCAAATTGAGTTTTATTCCAATTTTGATTCAAATCAAGAGTACCCATTTCGTTCACTCGAATTTCTACTCAATCCAAACTTGACACATAAGTGCTGCTACCCAAATTCTCGAACTCCTAGCATCCAATCAAGACTTGACACTCAGAAATTTTTCTCAAATTCCATTACAGTGCTTCATATCAAATTAAGCTTTTTATTCAAACTTCTACTGAATTTGAGAAGAATTTCAAGTAAGGGTTGGAAATGGCTAAGAATCCCAAATCAAATTGGGCCTAAAATAATAATATGTGATGAAGTTATCTTGTGAAAACAAGAACAATAATTCATTGGGATGTATTGAGAGAACGGCGAATTATCATATAAACAAAATAACGATAGTTCATTGGGATGTATTGAGAGAGACGAATTATCATATAAACAAAATCAGCATGGTTCAGGGGAAAGTAAAATAATAAAGTTTTGCCACCAAATCATTAAGGTTTTGATTCCGATCACACGCAATTTGATCATATCTTTCAAACATCATTATTCAACTAATGCGTTTACGGGATTGGAGATATTACTGTCGCTTAGTGGGTGTTTGGGAAGTTGCTATTTTAGTAGGTTATTTTAGTAGGTTAAAATTTTTGTATTTGGGAAGATAGTTAGATTTTTTTGTAGTTGAATGTAATTTTTTGTGAGAGAAAAAGTAAAATGATTATGAGTTTGATATGACATTTGATATTTTAACCTATTTTGTCATTTTGTGAATTTTAGCGCAAAAAACCAAAAAAAGTCTTTGCCAAACACCCCCTTAGTCACATCATTCAATTAACTTAATTCTTTGTTAGAATGGTATATTTGATGAACTCCATAAAATAAATCATTCGAATCATTAAAAAATGCTTGAAAAATTCTCTCACTAGAGTGCCACAGCACCCCTAGTCACAATAGGGCCTGTGGGAGATTTTTCTAAGTTCTTTCAATAATTCAAATTGTTCATATTGTAAAATTTGTTAAATAAATCATTCATGTAAAAAATCGAATTTATTATACATCTACAATTCCATGACAAAAGCACATTTGTTTTTTAAAAAATAAATAGTCAACATGATTTTGATAATTTTTTTTAAAACAATCAAAATCGGATCATGAGTTTGCGGATTTCCAATTACCTTGATCTTTTACGAGAATGATATACTTGACGAACTCTACAAAATGAACGATTCAGATCATGAAAAAAGATTCGAAAAAATCTACCACCAGAGTGTCACAACACCTTGATGTAACTATGGTCACCACAGCGGGATAAGCTCCCCTCCATACTTACATCTCTCCATACTCATCTATATTCCTCTTGTGAGCCCAAATTCGAACTCACATCAATGATTTGAACCGTCTACTTTGTAAATTCAATAATAAAGGTCATTCATACAAAAAAAATTAATTTTATCGGAAATTGATAAATATAAGAACAAATCACATTTTGTTTTATAAAATGAATAACAAATAGGATTGTAAACTAAAACTAGTATTTTGTAAAATAAAACGTAATTTATTTTTGTGTTTATAGTTATATAATAAATCTAATTTTTTTTATATAAATAATTTATATCCCACAACTTATGAAATAAACGATTTAAATCATAAAATAAAATAAAATATCTGAATTATGACCCCCCCAAAAAAAAAAATAGTAATTAAAAACGAATTTAGAGATTCTGTTTCTAATATTTAAGACGTGAAATTCTAACATATACACTGAGGAATGGGTTTATAAAGACTGCAATTTGCAGACACATAAATGCGTGAAAGAAAAAGAATGAAATGGTGAAATTGTAAAACACACAATACCCAGAAAAGTTAGAGGCTACCCATGAATCAAATCACTATTGGCAAGTGCAAAATTTGCAGAAACTGCTTTTGAACGTAGAAATCATAGTAATCCAAATTGGGCATACATGAATCAAATCAAGCATTGAGGAGTGCAAAATTTGTAGAAACAACTTGCGAATGTAGAATGATAACATCAAAAGTTGTCAGAGAGAGAGAGAGTGGCTGATCAAATTCTTTCTTGGTGTTTTTCCATTGCTTTTTGGTTTACCCAATATTAAAAATTATCTACACGTCGCCTGAGAGATTCGAACTCTCGCGGGGAAACCCCATGTACTTAGCAGGCACACGCCTTAACCACTCGGCCAAAGCGACGTTGTCTGATTGTCTTCCTCCTTTTTTATTTAAAAATCTTTATAGCTAAATCTTTTTCAATCATAACTAAAAATAATAATAATAATAATGAGTCATAATCAAACATCACATAAAGTACAATCAAATAGCTTTTGGATCATAACATAACCAACATCTCAATGAGTCATAACTTACATCATGATCAATCATAATTAAGTCATAACTAATACTACAATAAGTTATAACCGAATACTACAGATGTCATAACTAGAGCATATGGCACACGCCCCAAAAAATTTCCCTCTAAACACTTTGTTTAAAAATTATGACAATGTTTGAGTAGGTTGGGAGCAATATTTTTAAGCATGTGGTGACAAATTTCTAGAAACCATGGTTCCAAAATGAACCGAACCAAACCGTCAAGATATTCCATATTTGGTTTAGTTTCAAATTTCATGGAACCGTAAATAGTGATTTAGTCATTGAATTTCCTCCTAAACTGAACCAAACCGAACTATGTTCACCCTACATAGAATGAAGAAAACAATGAGGCATGCATTGATGTAGCCGCCAACATATTGAGGATATTGTACCTGCAAATTTTCACCTTGAAAAGTGGCATATCAACATGTGTTCATACGTGTTAGATTTGTCTCATATTGTCTATTTAAGTTACTCAAACTATGTTAATATATTCTAGAAGCTCTTCTACTTATTATCAATTGGTTTTATGTTGAATGTTTTAACAGTATTCTCAATTTCTTACCAGTCTAGCAGCATTTTCATTGATGCAAGAAGTTTTAAATTCATACAACTAAGGATAATACTTGCTTTCACCTCTGCCAACCCAAGCCAGTGTTGATTTTCTCAAAAGAACATGCCTTCATTAGAGATCTCAACTAAAAGCCATCCTGCAAATCAAAAGCAGAATTAACTCAAAGTTAACAACCAGCAAAAACGCTATCTTTGTTGTGAAGTATAATCTTACCATTCAAGATTCAACTCACAATACATGTATAAATCGATGAGAATCAATGGGTGAACCTATTTTCACATAGAATCAATGGTGAATCATGTAACAGTAAGTATCAAGAAACCAACCATATTGAATCTTGATCAAATGGGAAACAAAAAACATCTTAGAGATGAAAACAAATGACACAAACAAGATAATCGGTCTTTCAGGCATTTAATCAGACAGAAAGTAGACAATTCAAGACAAACCAAGCATTAACACAGCTTGCATCTTTAGAATTAGCAAATCAAATGAATCTGTTTGTGTTTATGTTCATATATGGATGTATTATTATATACCCATATGAATCAAGAGCATATAAATTTCTTCAAAATCTTAAATTGACAACACACATTTGATATTCCAAGTAATATTCTCAGAAAACAACACCATCAGTGTGGGAACATACTTAACAAATCGTTCCTTCACCGGCATTCTAGTGGGATGCCCACCTGTTAATTTAACAATTCAATTATGATTATGTTTTGGTGGACTAGTCTTACGCTCTCACTGCTGCTTACTATCAATTTGATCCCTACACCAGTCATTCATAATCACACTCCATATGAGCGTTTACATGGCACCCGTCCCCCTTACGACACCCTTAGGGTTTTTGCTCTGCCTGTTTTGTTCTTCTCCAACCTCATGAACGTACCAAACTTGAACCTCGTTCTCGCCTTTGTTGCTTCTTGGGGTATGGTATTGAACATAAAGGGTATCGCTGTTGGGATCCTCTCTCCAGCGTCTCCGTATCTCTCGTCATGTGGTCTTTTGGGAAACACACAATGTTTTCCTCCCTCTCTCAATTCCGTTTATCCGTTCCCTCACCCTCTCTGTGTTTTACTAACCCTTCTGCAGATCTGTTTTCTGATGAGCTTCCTTCACTGCCCATGCCTAACTCTCTTGAGACTGCCTTGC